ACATCCCCGGTTGAAAAGATTTTTAGCACCTGAAAATGTTCCCTCGTGAGAGTTATTTCTACCAGGCGAAGCCTTTTTATTCGAGTCTAGCAAACTTTAAGGTTTACATTCTATTCACTTCTGGACATCAACTGCACTTGCAGACGAAGTTGACTCTAATGCTATTTTCTTGCTCAGCTTTTTATGATGCTAGTAATATACAGTGTTCAGCATTAAATAGAACATGCCAAGAAAAAATTGATCCATTCAACAACCTATATTTTGATTTTAGCAAATGTAAAGATAGTTTTTGGTATTCTATAGTGGAAAAAAAATGCCGATTTGACAACTTAGGATAAGTTCTTTGATATATAGGAACACCACATTTCTAGTTTTTTAGTTGAAAATCAGCCATTTGTCTTACTGATCTTTAGAAATTGCCTGACGACTACTCAGTAGTCTAGAAGCGATAAATAGGGGAACCTTGATCAATATTTGATCTAGAAACTAATACAACTGAATTTTTTCAATGTTAATTCTGTATACTACTTAGTTACTAAGGCCGGCTTTTTTTATGATGATGATCGAATTTAAACATATGATATCAATTTCTCTCCTTATTTCTTATTTTTGTTTTGCAATCATGTATTTTGGCAATAGGGATGATCAATCAGTATTCAAAAAAACAACTTATTAGATTTAGAAATCAATTCTAAAAAATTCAAAGTTATTTTACATAGAAACTGAAATTTCTTTTAAATTTAAATTGAATTTACATAAATTGAAGTTAATTTAAAGCCACTTTTCAATCAAGTTTTAATCAATTTGTATTAAATCTAAATAAATTGAAGTTAATTCAAATTGTTTCAATTCAACTAAAACTAATGCAAATTCAATTCAGATCAATTTAAATTAATTTAACCTGCATCTGAATAAGTTTAAATTGATTTAAATTACTTTAAATCAGATTTAAATCGATTGAAACTATTTTAGATCAATGCAAATGAATTTAAACCCAATTTAACTCGACTTAAATTAAATCTAAATAGGGATATAAGTTCAATTTTTATCGTTTGTTGAACAAGTGTGAATGAAATGTAGTCTAGGAAAATTTTTGTTCCCCGTTACGAGTTCGAATCATTTATTCTTACTTTTTTAATTAGTTACTGCAGTCATATATACCAGACGTCTTCGGTCTAAGGCTCATTGCATAATACTGCAACTTCATCAGTTGACAAGCTGACATATGATGGACTTGTCCAATGGTTTTATCATGTATTTATGTTGAGCTACAGTTCTGCAAATTCCATAAGAAACTCTCAAGCCTATAATAACATGTTACTGAAACAAATTATAGTTTCAAAAGAGGAAAACTTACTTCTTTAATTTGTCCAGACTCTTGTGTTTTCAACACCACAAGAGCGCTGTAGGTATCAACGTTGTTTTCTGAGTTAGAGTAAAACAATATGCGACTCATACATATATCGCAAAAAAGCATAATTTTTGAGTGTAAATGCCTATATTTGAATGAATAGAGAATGAAATATTGATCATATACTGTGTTTGTTTCATACAAATATTACTCTCATTTTGTAAGTTCTGTCCGCGGTTGTTTACACAGATTAATCAACGCTGATGAACAGTCAGTTGAATGTTCGCCAGAATATGCGCTACACTGCATAATTACCTATTTTTATTTTGCACGCATTGTACAGAATTGACAAAATATTATAATTTCATTCGCCATCGTTTCGCGTTCAAAAACTTTATCTTGGTTAAACACAATCTAAACACATTTTCACGCATAACTGAAGCTGTCTCTTTTACATTCAAAACTACAAGCACATCCTACTCTTGGTGAAGAATTTTACACATCATGTATTCTCACTCTACAAACATGAACTCTCAGTATCATGTAGCAAGGAAATATATGATTGTAGAAGTTTTATTTTCAGAGAAGAGAAAAAAGAAATTTTCGATTTTCAAAGTGACAATTTCCAGCTGTAAAATGATGATACAAACAAAAAGAAAAAATGAATTATATATAATATAACATTATAATCTAAATAAACCATATGAATTAAATGTAATTAAAGTAAGATAAAAAACGACACTTTGCACGAATATCACTATCAAATAAATAATTTCATGACATCACATAAAATATCAAGATATATACTAGAGTTCAGACATAATTTCTATTATTATACTAAGTAGAATATTAAACTTGAGTTATAGTTTTTTCTCCTGTAAACTTTTGGTATTAGAAATAAATTATTTGCTATTATTATTGATTTAATTAATTTCGTAGTGCAATTTTTAGGTTTTACTTAAATGAAGTTTATTTCATATGTTTTATTAAGATTATGATGTTATCTTTGTTTCGTTATTGACTTTCAATTGTTTGTATCAACAGTTTAAGGTTGAAACTTGCCTTTTTGAAGGCCGAAAATTTTCTTTCTCTTTTTTGTAAAATAACAAACTTCTATGTATATATATTTTTTTGCTTCATGAT